TTAATACCCAAGAGCAGAGAAGAAGATTTTCAAAGAATTTATGCATTTTCCCTATATAATTAATAGAGCCCCGCCTTAACACCAGAACTCCTGACCCGGGGGCCATGAAATTCAAAATTTTGGAAGAGGCAGTCTAATTCAACATAACCACATATTTGGTTTGTTTATTAAATACCCAGGAGAAAGGAAAAATATTTTAAAAGAAATAATTCATTTTCACTATATAATTAATAGAGCCCCGCCTTAGCACATAAGAACACATGACCTTTGGGCCATGAAATTTAAAATTTTGGAAGAGGCAGCCTTATTCAACATACATGTATCTATGTATTTGGTTTGTTTATTAAATATCCAGGAGCAAAGGAGAAGATTTTCAAAGAAATAATGCATTTTCACTATATGATCTATATAGCCCCGCCCTAGCACCTAAGAACCCCTGACCCTGGGGCCATGAAATTCACAATTTTAGAAGAGGCAGCTTTATTCAATATAAATATGTACTTATTTAGTTTATTTAATGACCAGGAGCAAAGAAGAAGATTTTCAAAGAAAATTATTACTTAAGGTGTAATTATGAAAGCTGGTATTTTGGGAAAGGTGCACAGAGTGCGTGTGGTGTGTGAGGGTGTGTATTTTGTTTTCTTTTGTAAGTATAAACATTTTCAAAAATAAAGCATTAAAAAAAAAAAAAAAAGATTTTCAAAGAAATAATGCATTTTCATTATAAAATCTACAAAGCCCCGCCCTAGCACCTAAAAACCCCAAACCCTGGGGCCATGAAATTCAAAATTTTGGAAGAGGCAGTCTTATTCAACATAACTATGTACTTATTTAGTTTATTTAATGCCCATGAGCAAAGAAGAAGATTTTCAAAAATAATGCATTTTCACTATGTAATCTATTAAGCCCCGCCCTAGCACTAGAACCTCTGACCCCAAGGCCATGAATTTCACAATTTTGGTAGAGGATTCAATGCTTATTACAATCATGGAAACAGTTTGGCTGCTTGATGTCCAGGAGTAAAATAGAAGATTTTTAAAAATTGCATTAATTTTAGTGGTTTTAGCCCCACCCCTCAGGCCCCAGGGGGACAGGGACCACGAAATTCATAATTTTTGTTTCCCTGTATCCACATATGCTTTATGCCAAATTTGGTTGAAATTGGTTGAGTGGTTGCAGAGAAGAAGCTGAAAATGTTCAAATGTTAACGCACGATGCACAACGCACGACGACAGACGAAAACGGATAGCCATTATAGGTCACATGAGTTTACTCAGGTGACCTAAAAAACGGGCTATTTTGCTACACATACTTGTAACCCATATTGGTTTGGACATGAAATCTGTTCTGGATTTATGTGGAAGAAATCTATCATTGGAATATGGAATCACATGCAGTGTCGCTTTTAACGATATAAAATTAAAAATTATCACATTTGTCATAAATTTTAAGTCAATTCTTTAGTTAAAGATTTTGGTAGCATAACATACAAATCTGAAACAGATGTGGCAGACTTCGCGGTTCTTTATTTCAGGTTCATTTCCCAATGGACAGATCGAGTCGACGTATGAATGGAAGTAACTATCATTGTTAACTGATATATCGTAGAGATATCTATATATAAATTTAAAAAACTATATATATAATAGCAATTGCCCTCTTCTGCAGATGTTTCCGATTCAATTGAATAAAAGAAAAGGTTCAGCTTTGTCCATTCTCTATCCAGAGTTGTCGTTCCCGCTACGCTCCCATATTTTCAATAATTCGACAATTTTAATATACTGTGTTTTTCTTAATCAAATTTTATAACAAAAATACATTTTATTTTACCACCAAAATCTGTCGTTGTAATCTGGCGACAAAAAGGGAAGTAATTTAAATTACATGTCATGTACATATGCTAAACGAAGGAAGAAAGTGGATCATAAACAAGCCTCTCGATAAATAACAATAAAACTTAGACAAATTCGACAAATGGTCAATAAACTGATAAATCAGCGGTAGTTTTATTCGCTAGAATTGATAATTATACTGATCAAAAAGGAGGAAAAACGGTCATGAACGTGCCTTAATATTGTGATATTTTTCTTCTATCTCCTCTCTCTCTCTCTCTCTCAATCTTCTAACTGGTACAGATATAAACAGACACGAAATAACATAGTAATGGATCATTATTTGATTTAATTAATATCAAATACTTCATTAATTTGTTTTAAAAGTTTTTTTTTTTAATTTTGTTCTTTTTATACACTCCGTTTAAAAAAAGCAACAATAATTTGACTCAAATTCCAAGGCTAATATCGCATCTGAAAATGATATCGATGAAATAATAATGAAACAATGAATCAAATGTGTTGTTGAATGGCTAGACAACGATGTGCACATCCAGCGAGCGTTACCCAAGGTATACTATAAGACAGGTGTGAAACCCCCAGGGCATGTCGTTTCCTGCTCAGGCACTGCTAATCCCTATACACAGGAAATGATCGCGGCTAATACTTAATACACAAAGAAACAGATTTTGTCAGAGAAAACAAAAATATATGAATTTTCGCATTGAATATTTATTAATATAAACTATAATTTCGTCTGTGAAGTTTATCATTACACCTGCACATCCTATCTTATCTACTGAACACGAAAATCGAGAAATATTAAAATTAAAAAGAAAGACATTGTATTAAAAAGTAAAACATGTTAATGTGAAGGTGAAAAACGATATTTTTTCTTGATCTCTTGTATAAAGTTCACGTGCTCAAAGTTAACTCTCGTCATCGAATGCTTTCCGGTCATTTGACAATTTGAGAAAAATGCCTGCACATTTATATAAAAGAGGGAAATACATTAAAGAAAATTAATTAATTAATTAAATTAACTTAATTTGGGAACAGAACATAATCGATGAGAAATAAAGAAGAATAGAAATTTTTCTTGATATCTTGGATAAGGAAAATTTAAGTTCACGTGCCCACTACATGTAACTGCAAATGCTCGTCATCGGATGTTTTCCGGTAATTTGACACTTTAAGAAAAAGCCTGTACATTTTATATACAATAAATCGAAATTAATAAATAAACAATATGAAGATGTACATTTTTAAAAAGATGTACATTTTTTTTTCAAATGAATGCTGAAAATCGTTCATCGAAACTTAAACAGTCTGAGTTCAACATTTATTACAGTTTGCATATAATATGAAGATTAAAAAAAACTAATTAAAATTTCTAGTATTTAATTTTGTTTCTTGATAGATTCTTAATAACACAAAATAATTAACCAATTGCAAAGACGTAACAATTTAATAAAATTTTCTATTCAATTTCAAAGATTGATATGTAATTTTAGTAACAAAAATAAACTTATTTTTTCTTAGTTTAAATCCTATTCATAGCAAAATTTATTAATAAACACACGGGTTTTTGTTTGTTTGTTTGTTTTCTTTTCTTTTCTTTTTTTTTTTTTTTTGTTACAGGGAAAATTGGCAAATTACAATTCGGGGAGATAACTCCCGTTTGTTTACGATACTAATTGTCAGTAATTGATCGATGACTTAACCGCGGCGGGGACAGGTAAGTGATGAATTTCCCGCGGAGGGAACGCGGTTTACCTGTCTACCTTGCCAAATACCGCGTTGTGATTATACCGCGGCGGGGACGCGGGAAATACGGGATCCGCGTTGCCTGTACTGTACACCTCTGTCAACGCTCGTTGTACAAGATTCTTAAACAAATTTTAAACGGTGGAAATATGAAGTTTAAATAGTGATTAATCATTGTAATTATCGATGAAGATGATAATTCACCATTTATATTATATCTATAATCCCTCAAAACGACTCTTTTTCAAAGTTTTAAGGGAACTATTTTGCGGAGTAAAAATTAAAATCTTAATAATTAAAAATTACTTTTAAGGTGTGGTAAATTGAAATAAATAATGTTTTCTGATAAGAAATATGATTATAAACAATTATTAATAAAACTTTTGATCTTTTACAAATTTTTCTAAGAATCTTGTAAAACAAGCGTTGACAGAGGTGTATGTTGGAGCGTAGCAGGAACGACAACTCTGGATAGAGAATGCAACTTTGTCATGTTATAACGAACCTCTATTCCGACAGGTTGTTGGTTACCTGGCCTGGAGACAATGAACCGAGAACAGACTTAAATATCAGTCAAAATATTTTTATTTTGAATAACTTCTAATTTATTACATATCTTATTAAAATGTGAACGTATGTACAATATTTCATTTTAAACATATTAATAATTTGGTAAAAACATTTTATTGTTATTTAAAGTTACTAGTATATCGATTTGAAACTAGTCTGTTTTCATTTTATGATCTTGCGCAGGGCCTGATCTCCAAAAACTACAGAGATATTGTCAATCCGAAAAAAAAGCATCTTAACGTTTTAATATTTATGTTTACAATTAGAATGATTTAAACAAAATAATGTGAACGTATAATTTGGCTGTGTACTCTTTTTAGCGCTTTTGGCGGAATTCAAGTATAAACGCTAATGCTTTGCACATATATACAGAAATAATAACATTTAGAAATGCGCTAAGTCAAATCTACGCTTACTTGATTGAAAATCAATTTACGCCAAATATTGTACACGCTAAATATAATTCATCTACAGTAATCCTGCAAATGAGAATGACTAGGTTTAGTGCATTTGCAAATCTTAGTTATCATCTCCAAAATCAAACCCATCATGAACCAAATTATACTCAGACAAATAATTTTTTGATTGCCAACCTAGCTTCTACTACATATGTCTCGAGTGTTAATTTTAATAGATATATATAATTATACAATATGTCAACACTGGTTAACTTGAGTATTTAAACCAAATGCTCTTTATACAACAGCAACAAATCATTTTTCTACAATCCGTCAAAATAACACATACTTAAGTTTTCAAAGGAACGCCCCCAAACATAATTTATTATAAATGCCAAGAAGACGAGTAACACGTTTAATATGTAAACATAACATGAAGATGCCAGCCTCTTACCTAAAGTGTTCTGTTGTTGGTGATGCTCAGGTTGGCAAGACTTGCCTTACCAAAGTATTTGTTGGAGAGAAGGGTGAAGACAAATACACTCCCACCATCTTTGAAAATTACTCTGGTAAATCTTTATTTTTCTCAATGAAAATGTTTATTAACTCTTTTTCTGATTTTTAACTGAATTAGTCGTAGAGTATTGATTATTACCGGTATTTAATTTATTTAATACTTAATCTTTTTTGTTATTTATTATCAGGGGAAACTGTGTACAGAGGGAAAAAAGCCAGACTCTCCATTTATGATCTACCCGGTCAGCATGATTTTGATCAAATGCGAAAATTTGCCCTCAAGGATAGTAATGTCATCATCATTTGTTACAATGTTCAGAATAGAAAATCATTCGAAAATGTTCAGTCTGTATGGATTCCAGAAGTTCGCCAGTTTCTGGGAAAGTCGATGCCCATTGTTCTTGTGGGAATTCTTTTGAACAAGAAACAGGTCAAAAGTGTGTCAAGAAGAGAGGCTGTTAGAGTTACATCCCAAATGCAACTTCACGACTACTTTGAGATATATTCTGGTGATAATGTGGAGGTCTCCTGTCTGTTTTCGTGTGTCGCAAATATTGCCAAGAAAACAAAGAAGAGAAACTCCTCTTTCCTCAGACGCATTTTTGTTAAATGACATTTGCGATGACCATTTGATCCAACCCAACGAATCAAAGCATCATTATTCCTTAAAACTCAGCACCTTGGTACCAGATTTAGAGATGGTGTTGACAAGGGAAGAAATAAAGGCCTTTATTAACTGCATAATGAAACCATGATGAAATAAATTAAGCATCATTATTCCTTAAAATTCAGCACCTTGGTACCAGATTTAGAGATGGTGTTGACAAGGGAAGAAATAAACGCCTTTAACTGCATAATGAAACCATGATGAAATAAATTAAGTAGACTGGGATTAGTGTACGTAGAAGACAGGGACATGTGCAACATGTTGAAAAATAATGTGGTACAATCAGAGCTGCCTGGGGTTAAGGAATGGACATATTTTTGAGAGTGAATTTCTCTGACTTGTATTATACATATACAATTATATTGTTCGTTTTCAACAATAAATTGTCAGAAAATAATGAAATGATTAATTTATATTTTCATTTATTCTGTTCTAAATATGAAAATCCTACTCACCTTATCAAGTGGTAAGGTATCTAAATATAAAATCGGTAAAATAAGATACTCCCAATTGTACCCAAGCTTGAAAAGTTGGAGGGTTTTTAGTGATCGGATTGTCCGTTCTTCTGTTACGCTTTGGGGTACCCATCTCTTCTCGCAACTCTTCCTGTTCCACTGATTGTGAAATTGGATGAGATTTTAGAGGTACTTTGTTCAAAAGTACCACTGTGACTTCTTATTATACCCCCCGCTTAAAAAGTGGGAGGGTATATAGTAATTGGTATGTCCGTCCGTCTGTACGTCCGACCGTCTGTCTGTTACGCTTCGGGGTACCCATCTCTTATCCGCAACTTCTCTTATACCACTGAGTGAAATTTAATGAAACTTTCACACTGCCATTCTTTGTATAATATAGAAGGGTACCCATCACTTCTCCGCATCTCCTCCTATACCACTGAATGAAATTTAATGATACTTTCACAAATTCTTCATTACATAAAGTCATTGTGCACCACCCATTTTAATTTTTGATCTGACACTTATTTCGAGTCTCCCAGAACAAAACATGGACTTGATCATTATAATGGTATGGAAGGCGGGGATATCAGTTAGTGAGCTCAGTGCTCACAGTACCTCTAGTTGTTTATTACACTTTGGTACAATGTGGGTCTTTTCTTAATCGGTAAGCTAAACTCATTTACACACAATGTGTGTCATATACCGGCATTATACAACACTTTCCACATTTACAATAATCGCTATTTGTGCTCTATCACGTAGATTGTATAAAGAGCAACATTTATCGCAATTTCTTTTACTTTGTATGAATTTCAACGACTTGATAAAATGTTACATGTTCACTACAAAATATAGGACACAGCAGCGTATAGCTAACAAAAAACTCAATACATTGGTATAGAATTTTTTAATCGTTCAAAACGTTTTTAGCTCACCTGAGCTAAAGAGCAAGTGAGCTTTTCTGATCACAGTTTGTCTGTAGTCCGTCTGTAAACTTTTCACATTTTCGACTTCTCATGAATCACTGGGCCAATTTCAACCAAACATGCCACAAAGCATCCTTGGGTGAAGGAGATTCAAGTTTTTTAAAATAAAGGGCCAGGCATTTATTCAATGGGAGAATAAATTATTAAAAAAATAAAAAATAGTGAAAATTTGGTGACATGTTTTAAAAATCTTCTTCTCAAGAAGCACTGAGCAAGGAAAGATGAAACTAATATGGAAGCATCCTTAGGTAGTGTAGATTCAAGTTTGTTCAAATCATGGGGTAGGGTGGGGCCATAATGGACAACCAAAGTTTTTCATAGCAATATATAGGGAATTTTTTTTAAAAAATCTTCTCAAGAACAACAAAGCCATGACTGATCATATTCATACAGAAGCATCCTCAGGTAGTGTAGATTTAAGTTTGTTCAAATCGTGACCCCTGGGAGTAAGGCGGGGCCACAATGAACGACAGAAGTTTTACATAGGAATATAAAGGGAAAATCTGTAAAAATCTTCTTCTCAAGAACAGAAAAGCCATGATTGCTCATATTTATATGGAAGCATCCTCAGGTAATTTAGATTCAAGTTTGTTGAAATCATGGGGTAGGGTGGGGCCACAATGGACAACCAAATTTTTTCATAGGAATATATAGGGGAAATCTTTAAAAATCTTCTTCTCAAGAACAGAAAAGCCATGATTGCTCATATTCATATGGAAGCATCCTCAGGTAATTTAGATTCAAGTTTGTTCAAATCATGGGGTAGGGTGGGGCCACAATGGACAACCAAATTTTTTCATAGGAATATATACGAAAATTTTTAAAAATCTTCTCAAGAACAACAAAGCGCGCCATGATTGATCATATTCATATAGAAGCATCCTCAGGTAGTGTAGATTCAAGTTTGTTAAAATCGATCATATTTATATAGAAGCATCCTCAGGTAGTGTAGATTCAAATTGTTCAAATCAAGACCCCTTGGAGTAGGGCGGGGCCACAATGGACGACCAAAGTTTTACATAGGAATATGTAGGAAAAATCTTTAAAAATCTTCTGTAGAACAACAAAGGCATGATTGTTCATATTTATTTGGAAGTATCCCTAGGTAGTGTAGATTCAAGTTTGTTCAAATCATGACTTTGGGTAGGGCGGGACCACAATGGAATACCATAGTTATACATTGGAATATATGGGGGAAATCTTCTCAAGAACAACAAAGCCATGGTTGGTCATATTTTTATGGAAGCATCCCAAGGTAGTGTTAATTGAAATTTGTTCAAATCATGACTCCCTGGGATAGGATGGGGCAAAAATGAATGTTCAAAACTTATAGGGAAAAAAGCCACAGTAAGTCAAATAAATGTTTAAGCATTCTTTGTAGATTCAAGTTAATTCAAATTATCCCCCCCTTCTGCCTTTTAGGGGTAGGTTGGGACCACATGCATTTATGGTTTTTAAAACTGGATTGATTTTTGCTCTTTTTCCCTAGCCACGCTGCTAAGGTGAGCGATGTTGCCCATGGGCCTCTTGTGTTTCTTTATGATTTAATTAATAACGTATATGTACATCCCGAGACTTGCTGTAGAAAGCTGAAAATTCATTCTATTATGCTCGGCACTCGGGGCCATTGACCAACGAGAGATCTTTTTCGTGCCAACGTCTTGATTTATACAGTCTTATCCGAAGGACATTCTAACTACTGCATGGGCGACTGTAAATCTTTCTTTAAACATTTGAGGTTTTATTATATACTGTTTTCAGGGAAATTTTAGCCCTGATCTCGGTTGGGCGTATTTAAAAAGGGGCGAATTCAAATACAGTATAAATTTTTAAACAAAAATATGACTGGGCATAAAACCGGGCAAAATAATTTGCAAGTGTGAAAGGGCGAAAATAAAACGGGGCGAAAATAACACTGTTTACAGTAATTAAAAAAAAATGACTACTTCCATAGGTATGACAGGTGGAATTTATTGAAAAGCTATCCCGATTACTAGAATACTTGTCAAGTTCTGCGAACCTAAAATCAAATTTAAATCTTACAATCAAGTTTGTGCAAACTCTGCCTCTTGTACACTGAAAGAAATGTGTTTAGAATCCAACACTTTTCTAAACACTTTTTTGTCACCTTCTTTTCTTATATTAAATTCCTAAACATGTTAAATTTCTAAATACGTTTGAGAAAGTGTTTAGAATGGAAGCACATAAGTGTTAAGATTCTAAACACTTTCTTAATTATACGTGTATTTCTATACATGTACATGTTTTGATCTAAACACGTCATGTAAGTGTTTAAATTCTAAACGCAATTTTTATAGTGTACCGTCCATGTGTTGTCCTACAACATCCGTTAATTTACTTTTCACACACTAATGTACTGTTACATCCTCGTTACGAAGTTGGAGGGAATATGCGCAAGGGTTCCGGTGGACTAATTTGTTCATGTGTGACCGAATTTGCATCGCGGTCGATGTCGATTGCTGCCTTAGAGAATGAGACGCTTAATTATTGCTCCGCATTGGGTTTATTACTCTAATTGATGCTACGATATTTTATTATGGATTTTTCAAAGAGGCTTATCAATAGCAATTCTCTGTAACCACTTAACCTTCTTTGCAATGAATGGTCACCGTCTTTGATGAAACTTAATCCAGTCTTGAATTATGAAATGTTAGACAGCATTCTGACAGAGTTTAGTAATAACGCCTATAAACTCTGAAAATTTGAGCGAAATCCATTGAGAAATGAGTGAGACATGAGGCTTCAAAGTTGGCGTCTAGGAAGTAGAAGAAAAACAGAAGAATAATCTTTACCAACAGAATCAGTAGAAGGTCTTCCGTTGGAAACGGAAGACCTTAATAAAATTTCGTTGCTACATGTAAGCGTCTTGATTGCCATGGTAATCGCCACAAAAGTTTTTTTTTTTAAACCTGACATTTTAGCTATAATAAATCTTTATTGGGCCTTAATATATTATTCTTCTATGGTTTCTGACTAGATGAAATATTCAAAGTACATTTGCTCATATGTCTTATACATTTAGTAGTAAGAGATTTGAAACACCATATTTTCTTTCCTCATCAAAATTGTACAACTTAAAATAGAAATGGTAAACCGCGTTCGAAAACTAGCAGAGACTATATTTTTGGCGGAATGATGGCGTATGAAAATATCTTCTTTTCTGCATCTCAAAATTCTTATGGAAGAATGCATTTAGTCTTAATTTTCAAATGTTAGTTTGATTAATAATAAGGGACTAAAGCTTCCTAATAAATCAAAAAATTGGATTTTTCAAACAAACTAGAACTTTATAAGCTTCCAATCTGAGTACTGATTTGAGCCCAAAATCCATAAAAAGTATTTTTCTTTTAATTAACAATCAAAACCTTTTGTTTTTGTATAATTTTGTGTCTTTATGTGGCAGCTCCACCACATGTGAAAATAAGAAAAATTTAAATATAAGAAGCAAGTGAAAATAACCAATATATTCTAAAAATGTTAA